TCATCATCAATGAGATACAAGCATCGCTTATAATTGATAAAAACCCCCCTATATTAAACACCAAAAATTGTAGATTCACACCTTTCCAATTTTAATGCAGGGCGATATAGTTATTGAACTAGACGTTGAAGATGACTCGAACTCTACTACAAAATTCAAACAAAGAGTAACAAATAAACTATTGATGATGGAAAAGTCTCCTGATAAAAGGTTCGATCCTGAAAAGTAAAGCTTCAATACCTCTTCGATTCACTAAGACAAGAATTCATTCAACAACTCAAACAAACACAGCAAAGAAGTTGCCAAGACAGAAATAACTTATTACTGTTAATCAAATGATTATCAATCAGCAATCTTATCCTTGCAGCGAAACTTATATTTCAAAGAAACGATGTGATAGCTAAAAGGAATAACAGAAATTTGATGGCGGCTCCTTGCAAATCAGAACGACCGACAATCGAAAACATCGTATTCAAAGGAGAATTGATAAGTAAGTTTGAAATTGAAAGAATCAATGCAGAATTAGAAATCCTAACTCAAAACCAAAAAACAATCAATTCAATCCATATCAAATGAAAGATGAATTCTTTTGGCAAGAAATTTCTGAAGAAGGAGAAGAAATTATCGAACAATTGGAAAGGAAATTCAACGAAATTGTTCTACCAATAGAAGAAGAATTTGAAAATATAATAACACATTGGAAATTGATTTTTACCTGTATAATTATTGTAACAATATTAACTACTTTTGTCATTCTGAAGTGGAAATTTAGATTAGTTCAATCCCCCTTTTGTCATACTCCAAAACGAATACAAATCAAGCTACCATCATTATTCTCCCTATAGACTCACCACACACACAATTCCAAACTAAAGAAATCCCACCCATTAAACTCCATACATTTAACTACATACCTCAAAATCACTCTCTCAAAGTTACATCTTTTTCTTCCCTTTTTGGGAGTGTCGCGAATTATAACATCACGAAAACTCCTATCTAAAAATAATCCCATAATATATCATAAATTATCTCTACATAAATTTAATTTCTTAAGATTTTTCACAAGTGATTTTCATCATGGATACGTTTAGTTCTCACTTTGTAAATTCTCAATTTTTTAGATACTTCCGACTCTTCAGACAATGAAAAACAATCTTACAGTATCTTAAATTATCTCTCTTTAAATCTAGTTTTTTTTTTTTTGGTTTATTACATATGTAATCTCATATCATAAATTCTTAATTCTCATGAACATTTCCGATTCTTCACATTTTTTATCTTAGACACGCCAAATTACCACTCATATAAAATTTAATCCTAAAAAATCACAATTATTATTTGTCTTTAAGATGGATTACTACTCGGTTAACCAATTTCAATTCCTCCGGTTTTCTTTTATAAATTTCTTTTCTTTTTATTGCTCGATTTATTAACATTACGTTCAAGAAAAATAAAGGTTTATTAATCTTCCTACTGTATTACAACCATTCAATATCAACCAGACAACCTTTCACGACACATGCAGCAGGATATTGAAAATGAACTAAGAGTTGATTGTACTCTGCATTTTGTTCATCGTCATCATCAGTATCACTTGGTTCTTCTTCTTGGAGAAACTGGGTCGGTAACGGCACAAACCAACGAATCAGTTCATTTTCTTGCATTTCGACCCGTTAAAATCTTGAAGGACATGAATAATTTTACCAGTTTCGAACGGTACGTTTATGGCATCATACGCAATCATATCAAAGACAGAAAAATATACTATGAAAATGAAATTAGTACTAATAATATGGTAGGATAAGATTACGATGGTTATGCGGACATATTTAGATACTATCCTGAAAGAAATAACGACATCCTGCAAATGCAGGAGCAAATTTTGACAATAATATTAAGAAAAATATTTACTCGGTTGGCAATTACCTCACACAAAAATGAAGCTTTATACCAAAGAAATGTTCTCACTTTACATTGAGATCCACCTCACAATCTACTTTATCTAAGAAAAATTACATATACATTTAAATTAATAACTGCACTACTATTTTTTTCTTCCTCATAAAATCCATTATGAATCTAATTAGTCACGTATATGTATTATGTAAATGCTGTATTTCGACAAGCAAAAAGACTTTATTAAAATACCTATCTTTCACATTATCTTCAAGCACAGATTACAAAAAAATGAGCCAAAAAAATGAGCAAAAAAAAAATCGGTTGTACTTTTGCGCCTCCAAAACTCTAATAAATTACTCAATCCTATGCACGCGAACTCCAGAAGTAATCAGAAAAAACTCCCGAAGTAATGCTCACATAAACATATACGTGCATTGGAAGATATGAGAATGATAAAAGGAACGACACTGCCCTGTTGAAATGAGGGCACGATGGAAGGAGAGAAGGATATGTGTCACGTTGAAAACGTTGACAACAAAACATGAAAACAATCTATTGATGGGATGCAATGCATTCTCTTCTCTCTTCCTCCTCCTCCTCCCTTCTTTGCAAGTAAGCGATTGCTTGGTCAAAATCATTTCAAAACACGAAAACCTGACCTGTTCAGTACCGGTTTCTTTCCTCTCCAAAATACTATCCTTTCGCATCATTTCAATCGACCATCAACCATTAGCATTGCTACTGCATTCAATTTAACAATCAAACTGGTAGCACAAGCAGATGAAGCGCACAACACAACCAACATCTGTGCAGTGCTAACTCTATGGATCACAAATGCTAGCCCTACCGGTCAAGACCGTCCCAAGCATTTATGCAATATAATCAGGAAACAGAATTCATCCAATATATTACTCCACATCCGTCACTCTCATTTAGCAATACTACCACTTAATGTCAAAATGCATGCTATTATGATGCAGAAATAGTTATTGCAAAATACCAGTTGCGGAATATCGGATTACTATTCTTGATATAATTACCTTTTGTCCAGCAATTATAACAACCTGTATCAACAAAACGAAAAAATAAGATTATAAAATTCCGTCGATCCTTTCTTCTTCCAACACATTAAACCTGACTGATCTTTTTCTAGCCAGAAAGTTGCAGATAATGTGAGAATATTCATCTTTCAAAAAAATTATACGATATTGAAAGAAATAATAATTATCAGGAAATATAGAAACTATATTACTTCTAAAGAAGAGAAAAGAAAAAGATTTGTAAGAATCATTTTATTTAGATTAGAATCTATGAGTGATAATTGCTTATTTTAGTGTTAATAATTACTAGTTGTTTCAATGATACCTACAAATATATGGAAGGTAATTCAAATATCTGTTAATTATTGCAATCAATAAATTTAAAAGCAAGATTAAATATTTTAAAATATTAGTCTTATGAAACACAACATGCAATATTCAAGAGATTCTCGATTAAATCTTATGTCTCACTTGTATTTCGATAACTGCAACACATAGATCGAATGTTTTGCAAAATTCTACAAAACTTCAATTTTAATTTTTTCAAAAATAAAAGAAAAAAGGAAAGAAAAACAAAAAAATAAAAACAAAACACAAAACTCTCGCAAATAATTGTTTGTACATTAAAGAAATTTTATTTAAAACATCCAGCAATCAAATTTCAAATTTCCGAAAAAAACAAATTGATTTGATACAAATTAATTTGAAATTTGTATGTGTAGCAGTTCAGTGATAGATAATATGAACGAACCATTTCAAAACTATAAACAAAACAATTATGTGTCATTCATTATTAAAGTGACATATCATTGTGCTAAATAATAATTGTATCGTTTTAACAGTGATTTTATCAATTTACTTCTTCATTTCTTTTTTTCTTTTAAATCGCATTATATCTCTCCTTGTTTTATCCAATTTGCTTCAATTTAATTGCGTGTACTTTGTTTAAAAATATGCAACAACATTCAATTTCACATTGAATCCTTATAATTAACTCATGATATCATGCACTTTTTATTTTCTTTTTTTTTTTAAAAAAAAAGAACGATTTGTTTTTCAAGATGTGACAACATAATCAAAATAAATCTGATAGCTTTAAGCTTTATTAGATTGATAATATACTTCATTAAATCAACAATTATAGTACAAAATATTTAAATGTCGCAACATAATCAAAAAGAATAATAAATTTTTTCTAAAAAAAAAAAAAAAAATTATATCATCGCATTATGAAATTTTCATGTTTAGAAAAACAATATTCATAAAACGAAATTTCACGAAATATATGTAATAAAAAATTTTTTCTCAAAATAAAAATTGATATATTTAATTGTAAAATTTAAATATCATTCACAAATTCACAGTTACATTTCTAATAAATATCATTATTTTTTTTTGTAGTTAATGAATTAACGGAAACCCTACAAAATAATCAGCAAAAACAGAAAGGATTTCAATTTATTTGCCAATTTTTAAAGCTTTAAAAATCTTCACACATTATTTGTTTTTTCAGTCATTTCTTAACTTTCATACAAAGTTTTTTTAACTTTTTTCATAAATTTTCAAACTTTTTGAAACGAAATTTGAAATCTAGAGGGAATATCTTTAGGTAGACAAAAACTAACAAAAAACAAATTATCATTGTAATATAAAGCATGAAAATATTTTCATTAAATTTACCTTATTCCTTTGTTGCCTCTAATAATCGCTCATTTATCTGCTATAAAATGTCTAAATCTTATTATAAACTGTAAAAAAAGCAGAATCTGCAAGCTAATAAAATTTTCAAATTAAAATAACTTACATATATTTTTCTATTTTCTAAAAATACTTGCATTAAAATTTTATTTCCTGGATTCTGGATACTGCATCGAAAAGTTTTTAATCTACCATATATTTATTTATAGGCATACATTTGCGCGGATTATGCGTTATTTCATGTGCATTGCCCTCCCCAGCGCTTTACAAACAATGTCTTCTTTTTTTTTTTGTTATGCAGTAAATTCATCTTCCCAAGTGAAAATTTTATATTTTTATTTCATTTTATTTTTTTGTTGCTGCTGCATTATAGCCTTTATCTAATAGCGTATTCAGTTTTTCGTCTTAATTTTTCGAAACTTATTACATGATTATATTTGCATACGATTGATTAGTGTTTTCAGTTTAAATTTTTTTTTTGCATGATACTCAGACATATGCAATCGTAATTCTCATTTCATTTCATGGATTTATGATACTCAGATCGTTATTCACACTTCGTGCATGTATGATACTCAGACATATACAATCATGATTAACAGTTCATAGGTATGATACTCAGCTAGAAAAAAAAAGTTTTTTTAAAGAAAAAAAAAATTGGCAAGACTAAGAAAAAAAGTATTTTTTTGCTCAACCTTTTCTTTTAATGATGCAAATATCTAATATACACCATTTTGAATAATTCAATAATCTTTCTTTATAAACAACCAGTTGGAACAGAGGAAAATGAGAATGTAAAGACAGAAAATACGAATAATGCAAATTGGACAGATTGAAACTTTTTGATCTTTGGTCTTCAATTCCAACATATCTGAAATAAAAAGCTTCCATTTGAGCATTTCTGTCACAGATGTGTGGCCGTATTCTTCACTATATAATAACCAAATGATTTTTGACAAGAATTTTTCAGATAAGAGAAAGTATATTTGTCATTACCCCGGGTGTAATATGATGACGGAAAATTACAAAGAATATGTAATACATAAGAAAACATAAAACACACGGTCAGCCCTTCATCTATGAAAATCTATGAAGATCAGTCTCAGATTACGATTCTTTACTGCTTATATCCTCAATTTCACTCACCTAAGCGAAATCAATGAACTGCGAAGGACCGAACAGAAATTCTGAGCTAAATAATGGCTCAAAGTTATTGTAATCAAAGCTATCTGAGATACCAGAATAAGTATTATTTGTAACAATTTCATCAGCGATTCGAGATTAAGTAGATGAAAAGTTTCACCTATTGGAAGCGTTACAAAGTACAAGATTGAACCAAATGATGGATATTATATATTGAAGAATACGCTGTCACACAGAATTTTGTGAAATGACAGAAATGTTCAAATGGAAGCTTTTTATTACAGATTTTTATTTCAGAGCTTTGATTACAATAACTTTGAGCCATTATTTATCTATATGTATTTTGCTGTGATGTAACTAGCTAGTTCAATAAAGGGAACATCTTCCATAGTTCTGTAATGAACAACAATCATCACACATGTTAATAGACTGAGAAGTAAAGCGATTTTAATGTTTCGAAAATTTGCAGCAAAGGCTCATATAATCAAAGAATGAAATGGATGAACCACAGCATTAGCAACCACCATCTACTTTTTCCATTGTTAATGGCCGCAAAAATTTGTCAGTTCATGCTCATAATATAAGCCCGATTTGAAGAAATACGAAATAGAGCTTAGCACAAGCAGAAATCACATCTCCTTATTCACCTTCTTAAGAAATAAGCTCATTTCAAAAAAAAAAAAAAACCTTCAAATCAAATAATGTAGAATAGCACAGAAAAAATACAGAAATTTAACAAAAATTTATGTAACAAAATTTTGCTGTTTTGTTCTACATTCTGCATCAAATAACTGAACTCGCACAAAAACGGCATTTTAGTAATCGTTGCATTTCATAACCTACAAGAGAATGAATGCATTCAAAAAAATTTGTAAAACATACTTCTTGATAATCGTATGAGTTTTGGGAACAGTCACCACTCTTTGGAATATGACGACCCATAAAGTTGCACAACGTCTGTCCTGAAGACATATCATCTGCAACGCCATGGTTTTGGCCATAATTCTGCAAATTATAATTTGTAAAGGAAATATAATTATTTGTCATTAAATGTAAGGAAAATTTTCCTTAAATTCAAAGTAAAAAAATTTAAGGTACTTAAGAAATTTTAAAAATGGATCTGCACAGTTACTAAAGCAAAGGTTTTTTACCAGATTTCTTATGTTTGACTAAGCAATATGTTAAATCTACATTACTTTTAAATGTCTATCGGTATGTGGGACAAGGGAGTGCTTGCAGTAGTCTTCATAAACATTCAAAAAGTAAAAGTTCTATAGTTCCTAAGAAACTTCCGTATAAAAGTAAGATGAGAACGAAATGACAAAAAATAGCAAAAAAATGAGAAGATGTCCATTAGTCTATTAGTACAAGTGAAAAACGCACCATACTTTGCTGGGAAATCCCATAAAATGTATTGGGTGAAAGCGGTTGCAGATGATGATCCTGGGTCGAAGTTAAAGCCCAACACGCTGTCGCGAATTATAACATCACGAAAACTCCTATCTAAAAATAATCCCATAATATCATAAATTATCTCTACATAAATTTAATTTCTTAAGATTTTTCACATGTGATTTTCATCATAGATACGTTCAGTTCTCACATTGTAAATTCTCAATTTTTTATACACTTCCGACTCTTCAGACAATGAAAAACAATCTTACAGTATCTTAAATTATCTCTCTTTAAATCTAGTTTTTTTTTTTTTTTGGTTTATTACATATGTAATCTCATATCATAAATTCTCCATTCTCATGAACATTTCCGATTCTTCACATTTTTATCTTAGACACGCCCAATTACCACTCATATAAAATTCAATCCTAAAAAATTACAATTATTATTTGTCTTTAGGGTCGATTACCACTCGGTTAACCAATTTCAATTCCACCGGTTTTTTTTTATATATTTCTTCTCTTTTTATTGCTCGATTTATTAACTTTACGTTCAAGAAAAATAAAGGTTTATTAATCTTCCTACTGTATTGCAACTATTCAATATCAACCAGATAACCCTTCACGACAAAATTTATTGGTACCACGAGCTGGGAACATGTCAAGTTTTATTGTTGCGAGCCTTCAACCGGCAAAGGAAAGGTTAGTCAATAATTTTTGTTGAGGAAAGGAAACGCTGTTTATATTTCCATGAGAAGGAAACGGTGTGATGCCTTCTTATTTTCTACATCATTTCTATCAATTTTTGAATTTGAGGTAAGGAGCATAAAAGTTGAATAAATTACAATTTATACTTTTCGAACCATGGATTCATTCATTCATATCCGGATGCACTACTCTATATTAGGAAACCATTAAGAATTGATTGATTTACCTCGGTCGAAAAGTCGAAATGTTGTATCTCCTATGATTTCGAAGTCCAAAGCTTTCATGTTATAACATAGAGAGAACTTTAATTATAGAAATTGTTAAATTTAATTACGATTTTGCAATCCCAAGAATTGTTATTTCTATAGAGATTTCAGTCGTCTTCTCAACCAGATAAAAAGACAATATTTCCAAAAAAAAAGAAAAGAATAGTTGCTTTAAGATTGAAATGTCGAAGAGTTGCATACTCCTTTGAGCACTCAATGTACGTTTTGTAGAGAGCAAATGTAAGAGCAACACTTGTTTGTTTTCATTGGCAATTTATAACATTTTTCCATAATTCGGAATTTGGTCTGATGCGGCGTCTCAGCTCATGGTTCGAACAATTGCCTTTGCGACGTCTGGATCTTCTCGCCGACTACAGAATTTATAGCTTATAACTTACAATTTGCGTATTGTAAGCAGAAACATCATTTCACTTTCTAGGACTTAACTACAATGCGTTCTGTGTTATAACCTGAGATAGTCCAGTATCCTGTTATGAATTCCTAGTTGTGAGACGAGTTAAATTAATAGAAATTATATGTAATCGCAATACTTATAACATTTTTATTTACTCAGTTACTTTATTTCAATTTCCTTCCATTGCAGCAATAATGCCTTTTCTTGGAACAAGCAAGAAATAGTAACTCACTCGTGTCACGACAATTCCAAGCTTGCCACATCTTTCTTAAAGTCATTCTCTACACCAACTAGTTCTGGGCGAAAAGTATCTCTGGATAGATCTCATTTATGAGTAATGAGTAAAACCTATTGATCTCCTTGAGCTAGCCTTGTACCTAACTTATAAAGTTTATCAATTATACGTGGAATAATAGGCCAATAAATAGAACTGGAGTAATCCGACCTAGTCTCACTTAACCCGATTTAATTTCAAATAATTTCAACTGGACCGATTTTATCAGACAATTGCTTGCTGTTTCTTTTTCAGGCGCTAGTTTATCTTTTCAATTTTTCACAGTGATTTTTCAGAATATACGTACAAATCCATGGATTTCATATAGTCGCCCATTGGTTCAGACTGTTGTTTATCACGGACCGAGATCCAATCATAAACTGATATACACACGTCCATAGATCGTTTCGTATCAATAGGGCATTTACAGTTATAGATCGTTTCGTATCAATAGGGCATTTACAGTTCTGGTTATGGCAGTCAAGATAACAGATATTTATTTAGCTTTCATTTCCAACGCATTATTTTAAACTTCCTTAAAGGAAATTCCTTAAACAAAGCTTATATCTGTATTGTGGCATAAAACCGAAATATCAGGTAAAAATAATTTCCTCCACTTTCAAGTTCTTTAATTGTAAGCTAATATCTTACTCATTTTTTTTGCAGTCCGGAGTCGGATTGGCAACCATCAAGCGTGGTCGACTAAGACAAAGCAGTGGAATGCAATTCAATTGATATGGATGAAGCTTTGGGGCTAGATTTGGAAAGTAAATCGGAAGTAGAGGATCTCAAAACAATTGACGCTTGAGATCGGTTTTGTAAAGATGATGAACATGTATATTATGAACTAGAGGTATGCTTTTATATTCGGTTAGAAATACATTCTTCCACGAAATATGAGATATTGAATTGAGATATATGAGATATTGAACAGTGAATTCTACTAATGAAATTTTCACCAATTTCCTTTACCAATACAAATTTTAAAATGACAGACGTTTGTGACAGCATCGAGAGATAGATATGGACAAAAAATTCTCTAGTTTTCTTGAAAAAAAAAAGTTGACTAGTTTATCAAAAAAAAGACTTTATTTCTGAATAGTTTCAGGACGACATACATTTAATCTAAAGTATCATCGAAATAAATTAAATCTCTAGATAATTCATTTCTAAAGCTCAGTTTAAAATCGGCCATATAAATGGACAGACAAATTGTTATTCCATTTTGTTTATAAAGTTTAATTGTAATTCGAATTACTTTCTTCCTTTGAACATCTCTCCATACCATACATGCATCAATCAGTACCCTTGATTGAAAATGAGCATCTATGAATATTATGAATTCTAATCTGACTCAATTCTACAGCAATCTGATCAATGGTTGAACGAAACAATGACTACATAGAAATGGTATATTGTTGATGTGATTGGATTGAAATGAACTGTTGATTTAATCAAATTCGATTTCATTGAAACCTTTAAAAATTCTATTGATTTTCAGTAAATGGAATCACAGTATAGTCAGTTTTTTATCATTTCCACTTTTGATAGTTTAGTTGATTAATGCTAGTGCATTAATGCTGCTTTTTGCTTTTTTTGAATGAAAGTTAGTTCTTGATTGTTAAAAAAAAAATACAAAATTTGAAAATTTGCAAAAAGTCAATCTTCATAAAAAACTTGGTCATCGACACAAATTTTTTGCTTTTTAATACATTTAATTCTTTTTTTTGACCCATCTTCATTGATAAGCTTCATGCCAATATCAGCTGTTACTGCCACCTGCAAATGATATGAATTGTTAATATCAAACGGTTTCACCATATCTATCACTAATAAATGTCCATCAGATAAATCGCAATTTCTCGAAAATCCACTCAAGAACAAAATGAGCAAGCAGAATTTTTGTGTGACAAAATTGTCAATGATTCGCAGCAATGAAACAGACGCTTAGAAAAAAGTTATTTAATGATAAACTACATTTAATCCATTTTTGTCGGATAAGAAAATGGTAATTTTATTTGTATCATTTCCAGATTCTGTATTGGCCATCTGCAAAATATAAGAGAACAAAGAAAAAAAGTAGGAAAAACAATTTATAAGCTAAAAAAAATGATAAAAGCTAATTATTGATGCACAAATAATCTTTTTAGCAAAAGGAAAAACTAGCTATCAGTTACCAATCATTACATTTTATATTGTCATTTGCACATAACATTTCGAAGAATTCATTATTCCGTAGAACTCACTGGCAGTGCCTTTGGCGAAATCATCTCTGTGCTAAAATCTGATTGGGTGCTTTCATCTGATGTATGAAAAATACGCCTTGGAGATTCAAATGATTTCGATTTAAGTGGCTTTGGTCCTGGTTTTTTCACTGTCCTAAAATATAACTTATCAAATTTAATTTCAAATTTTGACTAGAATATTCAAACTCATTGAAGACTTCTGAGGTGAAATTAAAAATCTTGCTTAAAAAATTTCTTGAAAAACATTTATACATTCCTCTAATATTTGTTATTTGCTATAACTTCGTAACTTTTCCTTATCTTCATTTGATTTCAAAAAAGATACACATTCCTTTTGACTCATAATTAAATTAAACAATATTTAGTGTTTTGCAATCACACAAATATCTTTATAAAAAGAACATGATTTCTGGCAATCTTGGTGGTAGCTTCCTCCAGATATTAGCTGATTTGAGGCAGCAGATGTCATCCGGATATTGATGTGAGCGTAACAAACCTAAGAAATAAGGTCTCTTTTGAAATAATTGGTGATTTCAGAATCAAGAAAAAAAAAAAAAACATTTGGTGAAAAAGAAAAAACTTTATACAATTAGGAAACAAAAGGGTAAAATAAGCAGAATGAAAATATACCAGTCCTGACAATCATGAAGCAGAAATTATGCTATAAATTGAAGCACTTGTTGTAGGCTTTCTAAGAGTAAAAAGTGTTTAAAAGTTATTCTTACAGAATTAAAGAGCGATTCTAAAATGATTTGTACAATTAATACAAAAATACCATTTTTAGGTGAAGCAGCAATGTTCACTAGTGAAGCTTTACAAACAGCAGTGGGTGGATTACTTTCATGAATGCCTTTATCTGAGCTAAAACAAAATCAATTTCGTATGTATTGCTTGATTACTCTGAATACTAAGTTAATAGCACATTCAGAAGAAATGCAAATTAAAATAGAAAAAAAGCAACCTGGAATCATGGTTAGCAGGCAGATATGGTGAATGATCTGCAATATCATTCAGAATAATATCGTTAGTGATAGCTTTTTTGATGTTATTACAATTTCGTGGAATACTTACCATCTGATTCGCTACCACCACCAGCTGATGTGTCACTTAATCCTACAAATTAACGAGATATCAAATGAGATTTTAAGATTTGAAATTTAGGATTCATAAAATTCATAGAAAACAAAATCACATTAAAAAATTATTTCATTTGGTTCCTACAAGCACAAATTTGATGAATGAAATAGGATAGCAGTGAAAACAATGTACAGTTGTTGTAAAATAATAGCTGTATTTTATACCAGCTTCTTTATAAAATTATAATGAAAATGAAAGGAAGATAAAAACTGCTTTCGTAGATTGCTTTTTCTAATAATAGCTTCAAAATCTAAGGCTTGCATTATTAGTATTGTTGTTAATGCCAGCATCGTCTCTCATTATAATATACCTTTATTAAATGATTATTGTTTTTCTGTTACTAAACAGTTCTCAGATCTTAAAATGCAGTAGATTTATGGGAATAAACATCTTTAACCGGATTTTGGAGGAGAATTGTCATTTCGCCTATCGCTTTTCAAATTTGCTTGTTGTGGTGCTGTGATTTTTAAATGTTCTGGTAGCTTCCATGATGGTGGAAAATAACTAAAAATTTAGATGTAAGAAAATTAAGTATGGACATTTCACTAAATTCGGTTTAATTACTCAATTTTGTTATTTCTTATATTTGAGAATAAAAAGAGATGGGTAATGACAAAAATCTGCGTAATTTGACAATTGAAAGTGCGAAATAAGTTGCATTATAATTGCTTTCCTTCGATGAATTTAGATATGAAATTATGAATTTAACTTCTTCCACTGAAATAGCATACCATCATTGACCAGAATTTGAAAAAAAATTTTAAAAATTTGATAAATATATCATAGGTTTACTCGTGAGCATTTTAAACAATGAACTAACTAGGTCATATCGATGAAGAGATTAGTTAGAGAAAATTTCATGAATTAGTCATGAATTAGACATATTTTGATATGATATGATTTTGGAATTGAAAAGTTAAACCTAGAAAATAAAGATCCGGGATAACTTTCACAAATATTAGTGCTGTAATCACGCATTTCATGCCATGCATATGATTTGTCCAGAAAAATAGAGAAATTTAAACATTCTGAATTTTTTTTATGTCCTCATTTATAATTGTAAATATTTATATAGAAAATTTCTAGAAAATTAATGAGTTATCATACATATTATAGTTCATTTGAAATTCTAGAATTAGGTTATAACTAAAACCTTTAATTTCGTCACTGCTAATAAATCCAAAATAGTTTCGATGGTTAATAATCCTTCACCATAACCAACTAATTGTTTGAAGTCGCAATTTTTAGTTTCAGCTGATTTCATGTCTTTCTTATTGTGGTGACCATTAGAGGTTGCAGTTAATTTCTGTTAAGTATATATTTCCAGTAATGCTATGTTGCATTCTCATTATAGTAATTTTACAGTAATTCTGCATATACGAAATAGTTTGAATGGAAATAATTTTTCACCTTCTCATTCATCGATATGTATCATTTCTCTTTTAAGAGTTAAAGCTAAAATCAAATTAGAAATGTCCAAGTTTTGAAAAGTCAAGAGAAATAAAGTAAGTATAAATGGAGTGAGAGCAGAAAGCATTCCGGTAAGGCAAGAAACAGTAAGAGATTTTACTTGATAATTTTATAATGTTTTCATCTGCGTCTGAAAAGACTTACTTTATTTGGCTCTTTGCTACTCTCCTTGCATCTTAATTCGATCAAATCAATCATTTTGTAATTCGCATCTTTTGCTAGTATTGTCCTATTATAGCATTTTGCATAAGTTGGATCACAAAATTTCTGGATCGCTTTTGTTTTCCTCGTCTTTCTCGTAGTACTGGTAGCTTCCGGTACTAAAGCTAACAGTATTTTATAATAAATTACTAAAATCAGATCAGTTTCTTCATCCAGTCTGCAACTTTGTGACGGTCCAAATCTTGTTCATTTACATTTCATTAAAAATATTTCATAAAAAAGACTCTTCTGTCCATTTGTCTAAATACATTCGTCTCTTCTAAGCAGTATTTTTGGAAATCTGCAGAAGTGAAAGATATAAACAAACCATTTTATGTAAAAACTGTTTTTTTTTTTAAAAAAAAGGGAAACAATTTTAAATAATAAAATATAGAATACCTCTATTGACATTGACATTATCACTATCATAAATTCGAGTTTCTTCGTGCACAATGTTCATAGCGATATTTTTATCTTCCGGCGTAATCTTCATCATTCTAATCAGGAGTAAATATCCATCAGAAGCATATAAAGTTAACTTACATTTTGGTCGATTGTATTTTTTATCACTCTGCAAAATATTTGACATAAACATCAATGCTAACGTTTCTATTTCTCATTATATGTTAGTATGGAATAACTGATTACTTAACTAAAAAGTTTGATTTGATAAAACTTTATTATGAAATTAAAAATAAGCTTATTCTATTCACTTAAAACATTCAATACAAATTTGTTTCCATTTATTTCATTACTTCATTTTATTATGCACCCAGCATTTCATCACAATCACTCTCAGTGTTGTAATTTAAAAAAATAATTATTTGAAATAAATATTTCTCCATGTCAACTTCAATTAAATAAATCAACCACTAACTCACTTCAGCTGGCTGCAAATGCATTCTTTTTGGTTGCAGTAACGTAAGGTCACGTTTTTGAATTTTTCCATCATTCCCCAGGAGCTCAATTTTGTGTTCCAAATATGTTTCACCCTTACGTGTTTGATTCACGCGCATCACTGTGTGAATTCTTATGGGCTCTGCAGAAAATACACCTCATTTTCATTATTAACTAAATTATTTGCTTGTACAGCTTTAAGTCGTAGAATAAGCCATTCTTTATAAACTGTTTCTAGTTATAAATTACGATAATTGTCAGTAAGATATGAGAATTTTATTTGCAAATTTTGATGAAGTTAACATTTAGATAAGTAATAACTTATTTGTAATCAACTGGATAATGACAGATGGAGTGTAAAAAAAAAGTTATGAATTGCATCAATGTAGAGCAAACGAGAGATCAACTCAAAAAATGCAAAATTTTTTTAGTCTTATAATTACTTATTATTATAATTACTCATTATTTATTCTCGAATAGATTTGTTATACTAATAATGCCAAGAAAAATTATTCAAATGCTTCTACATAGATTAACAAGGAATACACTTGCTCTTTCCATTTTACCTTTCATATTCGACAATATACTTTCTTTTGCATCGGTGATTTTCAGCAGTTTTGGCAATGCATTTTGTTGCTTAGCCTTCAATGACTCATTCGCAATTATATGAATGGATGGATAGTCAATTAATTAGTAATCTACTGGGTTTTTTAACCGATATGAAACAAAATCGGCTAATTGCATTCAATTGAATTTGTCGTATAAATTAAAAATTCTCATAAAATTTGCATCATATGTTATTGAAAACAGTATTGGGATTGCTTATTAACTCATTAACTATTCACAGCATTTCAAGTTCGGCGATAACAAATCATTTTTACGACAATAAAATAATTATAGAAGGAATTTTCATTGTATACAACTAATTATTTTATGCCTTTTTTCTGGAATAAAGTTATAATTCTACTGATTTTTACTGAAGTATTTAAGTTGTTCCAAAGAAATTACTACTCCAAATTCCAAAGTAAAGAAAAATAAATATATATCTAAGAGTCACTTCAATAATACAAATATAATAAAAAAATCCTATTGACTGTTTTTAAAAAACCTATCGACCGCATAAATGATCTTTTGAATTGGTTTTTTAAGAACAAACCATTAATTTTCTGTGTGAATCCACTGTTAATGATTTCCTAAGATGTATTCTATCAGCAAAATCTGAAATTAAACTCAAAATTTTCTGTAATTTTGGGAGAAGAAAAAAGTTTGAAAGGAACACACTTTTTATAAGAAATAATTTTTCTTGTTTAATTTACTTACAATCTTTCGACTGTTCTTCAACCTGAAATAACGAGAACGACCGACACTAATACCAAATACTTTTAAAAGTTACTCAACATAATTTCGATTTATCGCCTAAATTTTTTAGAGTTCTTTTATACCATTCTTGACAATGAATTCGAAAAAGTAAGGGAATTTAAATTCAAAATTCAAAATTGCAGAATTTTTTCGGAAAATTAAATTTTCATTCAAAAAAAGAAAAGGGAATATTCACTGCCATCTTCTGATGATGAATTTGTCTTCTTGATAAATTTTTATTTTTTTCTGTAGCTGTGCTTAACCTGAAAAAAATCTATTTGGACAATGTCAGAGTAAATTTGATTTTGAATAGTATTTTTAATTTCTGCATTGTTTAATTCCGTTCCGGTATTTTAAAGAGAACAAGAATAAAATTGTTTCTTTTTTTTTGTTTTGAAATTTAGAGGCCTAATATGAAGTTAAATTTTTAATTCCATAAAGAAAGAGAGAATAGTCTCATTTTTGAAGAGATTTGAAGAGATAAACATGATATGCATGCACTGTTCGAGATCATTCAGATTCTGCTATGTTTTCCATATAAATACATTATCTGAACGCTACAGGAAAAAATAATGTCGAAAATCTATGATGTAACATTAATCCTTGGTGTCAAATTAATGAGTCAAATAGTATATCAGTTATTTAAAGCAAATTTTGATTAATTATTAAGAATATTGTAAAACTAGAGGTAATAATTCGATCGAAGAAGAAAAAATTTGTTGAAGAAAGATGAACTAATAGATGGTTATCAAGCATTTTATATTAGCAAAATAAATAAGATGTGTTTAAGCAAAGAATTTTATGATAATGGTATGAATGAGGCTGGTAGGCAAAAATGTACTCCATAGACTGAAAATTATCGCAGAACTTATTAATAAATTAAAAGAAGTTAAAAAAAGAAGAGTGTAAATCAGGTATTTTCTGACTTAATGGCAAATAGTGGAAAATAATATAACCTTTCCTCAGATGCATCCATTTTTTCTTGACTTATTACTGATATTTGATTACATTTTTGATTACATTTAAGCAGTTTTATCATTGCCTCAATGTTATCTGCTGAATTTTCCACCTGTATGACAATTAAATAAGCCAATAGTATGCAACAAAATTAAAAGTAGTTTTCTTCTTTTTTCTTGGACAAATGGTTTTCTTCTGATAGCGCTTCTATTTGTTTCCAATTATCATCCCAAACTTTACGGAAAATTATTATCCAGAATTAGTTTAATGATTAATATTTTCTCCTCTACTTCAAATCTCGTCATATTAATTAGAACTTCTATTTAACTTCTATTAGTTTTATCAACAAGTCTAAGCACTCATAATTAATCAGTGATAGAAGCTAATAAAAAAAAAAAAAAAAAAAGACTAATGGCATCCCATGTCATACATTGATCAAACGATGTGATAATGTTACGTACGTAAAAAAGCACAACAAAGAGATCACGCAAAAATCTTCTGATGAATATGTGATATTATTAAACATTCAAGATTCATACAAGACAGTGAGCTGAGAATATTGTATCCTTAACAAATGCGCTCTTATTGGATTCATCGGATAGCTTATGAGCTCTTTTAGTTTTTAGTTTTCTGGAAGACATTATTTGTTTGAATCTCCTCTCTTTTGTCAAAAACCTGGAATTCTAGAAGTGTAAAGCTAATTTTAACAGTTATTAACATTCCAAAAAAAAAAAAAAAAAAAAAAGGAAATAATAAGAGAAAAAAACGATTGACTTAAACTAAATTTCATTCAAATTAATTTTTGATTTTTTTTCCTCTTCGACAAATCAAATGAACTCTTTTTAATGGAATGGAAGATATGAAGCAACCAAACTAAGCTTTATTATTCACAAATAATTACTTTTTTTACTCATAACTCTTGTTTTTAATTTAAATGATAAAATAACAGGGAATTAAACTAGATGGGAAAGAAAAGATGTAGATTTAAAATACTAAATTGAAATTTTAAAAAAATCCTGAAAAAGATGTATAACTGGTGAACACTTTCAAAGGAATAAATTGTATGGATATCTTTCAGTGTAACAGAGAATGAACAGGATCTGACGACAGTTATCGTCTTTCTATCCTCAATAAATGAACAGGAACCTCAATAAAGTGAATTAGACTGCTTATTAAAATATCTTTTTTCAAATTATCTTTATGAGCAATTTCGACTTTTTGGAGTACGGTTTCTTTAAATTAGAAATTGTGACTAAAATTTATTGATGGTAACCATGACCTAATCTAGCATCCCACACACAAGTTAAATTTTGAATGTGCTGAATAGAAAAACAAATTAAATATTTCGAAGGATCAATATTAAACAACAAGCTCTGCAAAAATTGCCAATTTCAATCTACCAATTAATTTAAGTGATGAAATACCAACGAATTAAGCAAATAAAACGACCGTTCTCAATCTGTGTAAATGTACAAAATGGAAATCAAGTTCATCCATCTTAATTTATCATGGCTAAAATTTGAAATGTTACCAAATAATTATCATAATGAGAAATTAGTTTGAATTTTGGTATGAAAACAGTGAACTGGGAGGTTAAAATTTTCACACTGCAGAGTATCATTATCATTGCGATATTTCAGCGTGTCTCTTGATGTCTGGTAGCGTATTATTTCGCATACTTTATCATGCTGTATCTTGTTTGTTTCACATCTTTTTTATCCGATCTTTTGCTATCATTCTCATTCCCTCTCTCTTTTTCAGTTGCTTCCCTTGTAATATTTTTTTTTTTTCGCTACTTTTACAACATATTTTTTTTTGGTTTTTTATTAATCTGTGATTCTTTGTGAAAGAGTAAAATTCCTCGATGTCTATGAACTTCCTTCTTACAGTAGTTCCTCCGCTGCCTTTTATTTCGTGGTGTTTCTTTTTGCTAATTCTAGATCTTCAATTCTTCCTACGTACATCATTCCAGATTCCAGATTCCAGAATTCCAGATATCTACTCACCTTGCACTCATATTTTTTTAAACATGTTACTCACTATATCATGCGCTATGTATTTTATTACATCCGTAAAAATCATACTTCTATAAACTTGTGAAAATTTCATTGTGCAATGACTTCAGGATATCAGCCATGTCTAACAAAGATTTACTGTTGCGTGTCGAACATGTGAAATATCGTATGACAGGTGCTTCTAAATCACCTATTAGTACCTTTTATGTTTATGAAGATCGGGTTGAATGGTTGGACAACGCTTCAATTGAAAAACTTGTCGTCCTTTTCAGCGATATTAGAGGTAAGAATTTCTCTGGAGATGCGTTATTGAAGTACTTCGAATAGCTAAGAAAGTTAGCTGATAGACCAAATCAGAAGGAATAAGTTACGGGATTTAAATAAGTTGCTGCTTTAAAGGATTAAAAATTTTAGTGTCTTTTTTTTTTTTTTTTTTTTTTTTTATTTTCCTTTTTTTTACCCAAGCAAAGAACGTAATTTTGTTCTGAAATTTTCGAAATTGGATTTGAAATACAAGATATGCTTATATATATATATAGACTATGCATTTTCCTTGTTATTTATCAACACCTCAATATTTCATCCTTTTCATTGTTTATGGAATGCTTTCTGGATTCCAAGACAACGAATATCGCCACTAAATAAAACAAAAACACAGCTCCAGATATGTAAGCATAATGAAGAACAAGCAACACTTGTTTTCGTTAACCCGCTTTTGAAGGAAGCAAGTTTTGATTGTTTTTATTCATGGTAGACTTGGAATTCGAATTAATAGCTACTGTGCATGAACATCTATGGTTTCATGATTCTGTCTCTTTAAAATATATTCATCAGCACCTTATTAGTCTACTAGTTGTTTGTTTAATCTGTCAAATTCATGAGACTTTTTTGTATGAAGGTTTTCCATATTACATGTGAGAAGAGTATCATATATTCTTCAGATGCATGTTAAAGATCGCGATATGATAAAAGAAATGTTGCAACAGGCTCTTATACATCATAGATAAATTGTTAGCCAGGTAAATGTACTCTGGTTTACTTTAAATCATATACTTTCTTTTAGATTATACAACAGCCGAAACTTTTTGACTGATGAACTCGATGCTTATCATATTTATTTTTAGAATGTTACACAATCGTTAAAGTACAATAAAATAAAAAAGCCAGAAGCAAAGAAGAAGATTTTAGAACGCAACAAATTGCAAGAAATATACAAACATTTGGTTGCATCGAAATTGATATCTGCTCAAAATTTCTGGAGTGAATGTTATCAAAACTTGGTAAACTTACTAAAAGTCAAATTCTATCATCATGTTGTTGTGTTTCCATTTGAGACGCCTAATTTAATCAGTTTTGTCTAATTTAACTTATCTTCTTGCATTGAATGAATAAATTCACCAATATATTCTTGTACTAAATCTACACCAAAAAAAAATCCTATTCTTAAACATGATCGTATCTCAAATTTTGTTATTCTTAGAAAAGCAATGGACTTTTCAATAGCTATTTATTTGTTATAATTTGGTGAATGGATTACTATCCTCCAAGCTGTACACTTACAAACGCTTAATTCAGAAGGATGTAGACGCGGCAAATTGGAAAAACAAAAATTTCTAATTGTTGATATTCTGATTTTTTCACATTTTTTCAGTTTAGTTTTCATTTGCAGAAAATGATTGCAGGATTTGGAGGCGATTCGGATAGTGATTATGAGGATCTCTTAAGAATGGCCAGTGTTGTTACAAAAAGCTAAAAACATTACAGAATTGACCGCAACAGATTTAGTGACTTACAAGCAATCCATGATTCTGTTGCATTTTTGGATGTGTTTTCCACCGACGAATCCTGACATGGATGAAAAAGTTAGTTTATTTTGCAGGATTGTTTTCGTTCACTTTTTTCTCATAGTCATTATTTTATTATTTTAATGAAATATGATTTTTCCTTTATTTGAAATTTTGTTTTCAAAAGATGAAGAAAAGATTGTATTTTCAATGAATGACTCAAATCTTTTCGTTTTATTAACATCATTTAACAATTATTATTCAGTTGTATTATATCCTTTTCATAATGGTAAATTATTGTTATCATAATCTATTGAAGTTTAAAATATTTTAAATTATTTTAAATTACGGTATGAATTGTATGAATTTTTTCAATTTCAGTTTCCTGCAGAAAAATGCTGAAAGTTTTGTTATTGCAACCATTATTGATAAAATGTGCATTATTCATCATTATAAAAATAAGGCTACGAAAGTTTGCATATAATTTTTATACATTATTGAAATTAAATAAATCCTTCGATACTGAGAAGTTGTAAATAAGGCAAATTTTTAGCATGTTGATATTCCTCAAACTGTGGCCGATATTCGCCATGACTGCGTGTCATGACAAATTACAAATTTCCTTTGAATTGATGCTTCATATTACTGCTTTTACTGGTCACTACAGTAAATTTTGCTTTAAGTGTCCGTCTGATATATGATTTACCTTATTTTTGTAACAAGGTAATTTCTCCGTCATATAATACAAAATTTGAAAAACATTAGCATTAACTGCCTTGAATTTGTATTCTTAAAATATTTTTGAAACTTCTTTTTTTGCCTAAATCTTTCGTCCTTTCTCTTAATTGAAAGTAATAATGATGATCATGATCAAGTGAAAATTTAGAGATTTTACCACCAAAAAATCAATCTGTTCATTTCAAATCAAAAAAAGAATACTTACCAGTAAAGTAACCACAACTGTACCTGTTTTATCATCATTCCAATCATCATCAGATGCTTCAGTTGTACTTGTTAAAAATAGTGGATACTGTAGCGCTATTTACTTCAGACATTCCCAATGATGCAATTAGCACTAGCACAGCTAGCTGTAGTACAAGATAAAGTAACGGTAATAATTTGTAACAGTAGCGATATGCAAATTGAGCAGCATTCGGACAGCAATAAGGTGCTGTCAGTAATTTCCGGAATAATTTCTGGAATCAAATATTTTTTTTTTATATTTTTTAAATCCTTTAACATTTGTATATTGTATACAACATAAGTAATAACAGTACTTTGCATTTCTTTTTTTTTAAACTCATGCATAAATACGCACAATTTCAAATACTGTTTTTTCTTTTTAATTTGGATGTTTCTTTTTTTTAAAACGAGTGGTCGAATAATATTTTTTTCGACAGTATCGTTTTCTTCAGCAAATCTTAACAAAGATAGTTTACTTTTGTTTCATTACATGTCATCAATAATCATCAGGAAAAATGACAATAGTTTATTTTGCAAAAGTTTGTAAACAAAAAAAATTACAACAATGAAATATCCTAAAATCCTACTAATTATCAATGATTTCACTAAATAAATTTGCTTTTCCAATCTGTTGAAGTTTTTTTTTCAAGAATTTTGCTCAAATAATTTTTAAAATGCAAGGAAAAAAGCGTTAGTACAAATTAAAGCAGTAATTGTTTCAGTATTAATATTTCGAATCTACTTTTAATGGATGTTTGCAGAGCCGATAATTCACATTTTACTCTTTTCACAAATAAATTTGTAGATATTAAATTTTTTTTTCTATCAAACAAGTATAATTTCAAGAAAGATATGAGTGATAAAGTTTGAAATGATTCTTTTTTTTTACAATGTTTCTAAGAACTCTTAGAACATGAGAAAAAAACAATGATTTAACTTATGATAGAATAAGATTTGCAGAATTTTATAATCTCAAATATTTTGCATTGCTAAATTTCTTTTGTGTAAGACATGGAATGTAAGACATCCTTTTCATAGTCCTTCTGAAGCCATTCCTATAATAATTTGAAGTAAATCAATTCCTGTAACAAAAAATTTAATTTAACCAATTTGTATGTGCACAGTTATGTGATACCCTCTTTGAATAAATAAAACTAATTTGCCAAATTTTATGGCTCATTGAAAATGGCAAAATTTGAAATACTGTTATTTATAGGGAAGTCAAAAACGATTTTTAAAAGATTCAAAAGTAAGTGAATAATCGGTAAATTTCACAAATCAGAAAGAGAAAAAAAAGAGGAATGAAAAATGTAGACGCACAGAGTGATGTATATGAAATACATGAATGTTTATTTGCATTAAAAAAGAATTTTAATAAGAAAGTTTTAAATCATTGTAATTTTATAAAATGACTAAGGATTATTAATCACAAGAATAATTTATATCTTTCTAACATCGAAAAAAAAGCAAACCAGCGAATCATTTCGTTGATCAACTTCTAATGGATGATTCATACTAATATAAACAATAAAAATCGTATTATAATTTACTTGGAACATTTTTGATTACTACTTATCAGTATCATTTCACAAATTAACCAATTTTATCACTGTAGCAATACGATAAGTGAATTATCATTTAAAGATTTTACTTTTGACTATTTCTCATAGACAAATAACGATGTCATCAGATTTTCAACGATTCATTTCTAATGATTCATACAAAAAGAGAATTTTATTTCAAGGATACGCTAATAGCGACAAAAAAAGAGGAATTAATGACATTTTGCATCCATTTTTATTTTCTCAAATCATATTTATTACATTTCACGTCACTGTTATAGTATAATTTGAAAATGAGAAATTGTTTAGAAATAACGGTATAAATAATGTTAAGAGAGGAGAGATGATTATATTGAAATTTCAAAAAAGTTTATATCTTAGTATCTGACAATTCTTGATAACCTTTAAAGAAGATTTTTGTACATCAATAAGCTGTCATGTAGTAATTATCATAGACTTATTCTCTATATTATATTATTAAAAATATTGCTTATTAAAAAATATTTGTATTATCAAAATATTGTAGAATTTTATTTTTAGCACTATCCTTATTAAAAATTGCAAGTAAGTTAGACTTAATTTGAGAAAATTTCCGATGACTAACGATTTAATTTTATTCCTAATTTTATTCCATTAAACTGATATGATAAAATATTTTAGACTGTAATTACAAACAAAAGATAACCAACAATTTTAAAACAAATATCACAGTTTAATGAACCAATAGATAAAATGAAATGATTTTTTAATTTTGATTAGCACCTAAACATTCATCTGTTCATATCGTTGTACTCACATCGTTTATAATTCATTTTGTTTGAAGTATAGAGATTTTAGCTATTAAAAATTTATGAAATTCAAAAAATGAAAGAGAAAAAAGGTATAAATAAAATATAACCTTTTTTTTGTATGAAATTATTCATTGTAAAATGAGAAGGAATGAAATGAAATTAGAAGAGAGAAGTGTAGACGAAATGCTAAAGGAAGTGAAATTGAGTCGAACGAAGTAATTTCTGCGCTTTAGGATATTTCATCCATCACTGATTAGTAGGAATAAATCATATATTTCGAATAGATATGACAAAGTATCGCATTGGTATTTATGAAATGACAGAAAACTGGCCAGCCCAGATGGAAATATGCAAATGAAAGAAGTCACTCCCACACTTCTTTCCTTCCACACATCTTTATTTGGCGCAATCTTCTCTTCCCTCTTTCTTGCATCATTGCATGTCATATCAAAATTGACTAGAAATTACCACATATATTTCATTATAATCGAACAATCCGATAGCTCATTCAAATGTTACTTATTTCTTCTTTCCCATCCAGTAACCTTCCATTTTCCTCCGAATTATTGTCACAAAAATTTGATTGCAAATTTTGGGTACATTAAATTTGATGATATGATGCATAAAGACTTGTATAAATTGTACTATCATTTTAATTTTAAAATGACCAAAATTCTGTCGCAATTTTTTTTTTTTTTGTTCGTAATTTTCATCGCAGTTGCGAAGTCTATCTAAACAAAGAAACATTCCTCGAAAAGTTGTGTTACTAATGAAATCTATTTAAAAGCATGCTTTATTGTATGGCTATGTGAAATGTTTTTGTGTAACTTCTGATTTGTTCATCTTAACTTTAAATTAATAAAAAACGAAACAGCAAAGATTAGAAGTCAACTTCAATGTTTATAAATTAACTTGAAGGACAAGTTTGGGAAAAAAATTAATCACTGGAAATATTTTAATGCTAATTGAATGTTTTTCTGTAATTTGAATCGCATAAGCACCTTTGTATGTTATTTAAAGAATAAATTAATAAATTTATGAAAAGCTATTGAGAACATCATTTTCATGATTCACCAGATGCTCATACCGGGAATTTTCTTCTCTGCGATTACTTTATGCACATAAAACATAATCTAATAATTAGTAAATAATACTTTAAATTTAATTAAATTTAAGAAATTCAACCTATTTTATTTGTTTAATTTTTATTATATATATTGTTGGAAATTCAGATGTGAGAGCCTTGGTTTGTCGTGGAAGGATTTGATTGTTTAATTATTAATATTGGGAGAGGTGTTTGATCGCAGGGAGATTGTCTTGTAAGTAAATGTAAATGTAAATGAGTGAAGTAACAGAAATATAATCCAAGTTCTTTATTAGCAGAAGTAATAGGACAATACGTTGATAGAGAACAACTGAAATTGGAATCGTCGGTCCTTGGCGACAAATTACACATATACTAAATCTTTTAAAAAAGGTGATCTTTATATAGCAATTATCTTACATGATATGTGTTAAGATGTGGAGTGGTTTATAATTAACATTCTTGTACAAAGGATGATAGTAAGTAACTTTAACAATAAGTTTAAAAATGGATATCACGAAAGAAAGTACAATGAGTTGTCTAGACATTATTTATGATAAGTGGCTATGAGTTGCAATAGACATTACATGATAGATGCTCATTGTATATGAATTGATATAAGGTCAAAGGTCAGTTAAACCATTACAATGAATTGTAAAAGATATCAGTGGATTGCTATATTAAGCATTGTTAACATTCATTTAGTGCTTCGCGATGCTAAAATCCGCGACATGGTTAAGATCAGCAGTAAGCATGCAACTACAAGTTCTATATTACAAATTTGAATAATAATGATCAAACGAAATAATTAATGAACAGCAACTGGCATAGCTATTTAGCCCAAGATAACATTTTATGATGAGTTTTTGAAAAATCTGTAGAACAGGCAAGGTATTATAACATGCATCTATGATGAAAAAATTAAATAAAAAATAAAACTGATAGGTCAATGCTAATACAAATTTTGGTTTCCGGAAGAAAAAGAAAATTCATCTCCGTTAT